AGTTTTTTAAGACATTAAATTACTAAATGAAATAACACTAAATAAAAGGATACACTCAGAACAAGGCAACCAAGCTTTATTCTCACAATATGATTATGTTAAATTTTCAAGTAGCGAGATTAATAAGCATTCAAGAGTGTCAGAGAGGCCCAGCCAGTGTGGTGCAGTGGTTTGAGCACTGGCCTATGAAACAGGAGGTCACATGCCCGAGCTGTGGGCTTGATCCCCAGTAAGGGACATGCAGGAGGCAGCCAATCAATGATTCTCCCTCATCATTGATGTTTCTATCTCTCTCACCCTCTCTCTTCCTTTCTGAAATCATAAATATATATATACGTGTGTGTGTGTGTGTGTGTGTGTGTATAACAATGTATCCATCCAAATATACCTGATGTCATACCAAACACCTTAACAAAAATAAATTATTTAAGAATATGAGTATTTTCAAAATTCTTATAGTCAGATTCCATGAGAAATCTTACAAGTTAAGTCAGATACTAAAATGAATTCTCAGAATGTCAACATTTAGAACTCTGAAAAATCAAGTATCCAATAAAATTTAAAAAAACTCAGACACAGGCTTGCTGGCCACCTGATATGTATATTTTCTAAACAGCTATTGTTTTGAGAATCTATCATGGACCAAGTATTATATATATATATATATGATCTTACCTAATTCTCAACAACCTTGGTGATTTTATTTTATTTTTATTTTATTTTTTTAAAAATATATTATCATAAAGGGTATTAGATATGTGTCCATTTTTTCCCCAACATCGATGAGAGAGAAACATCAATCAGCTGCCTCCTGCACATCTCCTACTGGGGATGTGCCTGCAACCAAGGTTCATGCCCTTGACCGGAATCGAACCTGGGACCCTTCAGTCCGCAGGCCAATGCTCTATCCACTGAGCCAAACCGGTTTCGGCACCTTGGTGATTTTATATTAAACAAATCAGAAACAAAAATAATTTCAGAAATCAGGCCATCAGAGTTACATAAATAGAGGTGGAAGCGCCAAAACCATTTGGCTCACAGTGATCCCTGGGTCCTGATAGTCATACCCTTGTATAATCCCCTCCTCCAATACAGGTTGCAGTCAGGGACTAGAGTTTCTAATGGAATATGGCAGCGGTGATTCCAAAATGGGAGAGTAAGTGGAAGTTCCACTGACACTCTCCCACGACCAAATTGGAAATACAACTAAAATACAGAAGAACCAACCTGAAAAATCAACTGAGGACTAGCTGGAGAGAACCCTGATAACCAAGCATGGAAAGTGGAGGCTGCATAGAGACTGGTAGGAAGTGCGAAGGTGCAAAAGGGCTGGCTGGGCTCCCACAGACAGCAGCTGAAGTTCTGGAGGGATAGACCCCACTGAGAACTCTGGGGTCTAAACCCCAAGCTGGGCTCCCCAGCCCAGAGCACAAGAACTGAGGAAGGTGCCCACATAACATCTGGCTATGAAAAGCAACAGGGTTGATGTCAGCCAGGGAGAGAGAGAGCTGTAAATGCAGATAACCTCTTAAAGGGTCAACACACAAAATTCTGTGTGGAGCCACGCACCTTGGACTATGGTTGAGAGAGGACAGAGTGGACTGGAGCTGTGTCAGTAGAGTCCAGGGTTGGGGGCTTTGGGGTTGGAGCTTTGAAGGCAGCCACCCAGGTTTCTTGTGCTGAGTCATGCCCTCATGTTGCGGAGGACATATTTCTCCAAGGGACATTTGCAATCCAGATGATTTTTACTGGGAAGGAAGGCAGTTATCCCAGTCCGTAGGAAGACCTCTCACCCCTCCCACTGGTTGATAGCCTCAGGCTAATCAAGGCTGATAACAATCAGACTGCTGGCAGAGAAGAATCTGTGGAGGCTTTGAGTCTTTGCCTGATCTGCTTCTGGGCCCAGGGCTAGGAAAAGCAGACAGTGGTGCACATCTTGGTTCTTTTTAAAGGCACCCAGCCACAGCAGAGGGAGCCACAAGCTGTGGATTGCTGTTCCAAATGGTACTCAAGAACAGTCTCAAACAGTGTCTGACATTGTCCTGCATTAGAGATTGGAAGTAATATAACTACCTAATACACAGACATGAACACAAACAGCCCAAATGGGGAAATAAACAAAAACACCTGAAATAAAAGAACAAGAGAATTCTCCAAAAAAAAGCTAAATGAAATGAATAAATTTATTAGACAGAGTTCAGAATAATGATAGCAAAGATGCTCTACAGCATGAGAAAAGATACAGTAATTATGAAGAATAGTACAGCACTAATACAGAACACGGTGAAAGGAATACACAGCAGATTAGGGGAAGCTGAGGATTGGATCAGTGAATTAGAAGACATGGTAGAAAAAAATAAATCAGAGAACCAAAAAGAAAAAACAATTAAAAAACAAGAGGACAGATTAAGGGAAATGTGGGACAACTTGATATGAAACAATATTTACAAAATAGGAGTGCCAGAAGGAGAAGAAAGTGAGCAAAAGATAGAAAATATGTTTGAAGAAATAATGGCAGAAAATTTCCCCAACCTGATGAAGGAAAGTCCCAAGCAAGAAGAACCCAAACATGCCCACTCCCAGACACATCATAATTAAAATGCCAAAATTTCAAGAAAAAGAGAGAAGCTTAAAGCAAGAGAAAAGCAAACTTACCTACAAAGGAGCTCTCATAAGGCTGACACCTGATTTCTCATCAAAAACTATAGGCCAGACGGGAATGGCATGAAGTACTCAAGGTAATGGAAAGTAAAGATCTGAAACCATGATTACTATATCCAGCAATGCTACCATTCAAAATAGATAGTAAAAAAAAAAAAAAAGCTTCCCAGACAAATAAAAAGCCTAAGGAGTTTTTCACCACCACACCAGCACTGCAAGATATGCTAAAGGGACTGCTGTAATGAGAAGAGAGAGAGATAAAAATAGGCATAAAAGTTAAAATGGTAATAAATAAGTACCTATCAACAATAACCATAAACATAAATAGGTTAAATACTCCAATCAAAAGACATAGGGTAGCTGACTAGACACAAAAACATGACCCAAATAAATATGTTGTCTACAAGAGACCCACCTCAGAACAAAAACTCACGCAGGATGACAGTGAAGGAATGGGGAAAAAGTTTCATGATGAAAATGAAAACAAAAACCACACACACACACACACACACTCACAGGTTAGCAATACTCATTATCTGACAAAATAGACTTCATAATGAAGGCCATCACAAGAGACAAAAGGTCACTATATAATACTAGAGGAATTGATCCAAGAAGAGAATATAATCCTGGTAAACATATATGCACCCAATATAAGAGCACATCCTATATAATAAAAGCCTAATATGCTAAGTGTCTGGTCGTCTAGTTGTCCGTTCAACCAATCAAAATATAATATGCTAATGATATTCTAAGGCCACTCAACCACTCGCTATAAAGTACACTGACCACCAAGGGCAGAAAGTCAACTGGTCGACCAGTCACTATGATATGCACTGACCACCAGGGGGCAGAAAGTCGACCGGTCACTATGACATGCATTGACCAGCACTGACCACTCAACACAGGAGCTGCCCCCTGGTGGTCAGTGAGCTACCACAGGGGGAGCGCTGCTCCGCCAGAAGCTAGGTTCACGGCTGGTGAGCACAGCTGCCATGGCAGGAGCCACTCCCGACTCCACAGCAGCAGGTGCAGCAGACCGGGATTAGTGTGAGTGGTACCCGGCCCCGATTCAGGTTCCTCCCTGGCTGCCTGCTGCTTGGCACACTGCTACATTCCCCAAGGGGTCCCGGACTGCGAGAGGGTGCAGGCTGGGCTGAGGAATTCCCGCTCCAGTGTATGAATTTTGTGCACTGGGCCTCTAGTAAATATATTAAAAAAACCTCTACAGCAGTGGTCACCAAATGGTGGTCCGCAGACCACTGGTGGTCTGTGAGGTCCGAAAGGTTGGCGGCCTCTGCTCTACAGGACTTTAAGGGAGATATTGACAGCAATACAATCATAGTAGGGGACTTTAACACCCTGCTGACTTCACTGGATAGATCTTCCAGACATAAAATTAACAAAGAAACAGTACCTTAAAAGGACACACTGGATCAGATGGATTTAATTGACATTTATAGAACATTTCACCCCAAAGCTGCAGATTATACATCCTTTTCAAGTGCACATGGGTCATTCTCAAAGATAGACCACATGTTAGAAAAAAATATGTCTCTAAAAGTTCAAAAATTGAAATCATATCAAGCATCTTCTCAGATCAAAGTGGAATTAAAAAATAAATCAACTACAGTAAAAACACTAAAAAACATTCAAACACATGGAGGCTAAACAGCATGTTATTAAACAATGAATGGGTTACCAATGAGATCAAGAAAGAAATAAAAAAACTTCCTGTAAACAAATGAAAATAAACACACAACTACCCAAAACCTAAGGGGCACAGCAAAAGGAGTACTGAGAGGGACGTTTGTAGCACTATAGGCCTACCTCAAAAAAAAACAAAGAAACAAAAAAAACCCCAACAACAAAAAACAAATAATAAACTACTTAACCCTACAACTTAAAGAATTAGACAAAGAACAAGAAAAGCCCAGAGTAAGTAAAAGGAAGGAAATAATAAAGATTAGAGCAGAAATAAATGACATAGAGAATAAAAGA